GCATCTTTTTCAGGTGTGTCGGCAAGCACTGCAGATTTTCGTTTTTTTTCTACCTTTAAGGGTTGGCTTACGTTGCTCAGCTTTAGGTAGTGACCTAACAAACTCTGGAGAAAATATAATTTTGTTTCTAGAATTTGCTTGGGAGCTGTTTTTGTTTAATCCTGATGTCGAAGCAACTGGTTCAACTTCATGAGCTTCAGAATAGGCAGGTTCCCGTTTATCATTCACAATATTCGGTGAATTAGACGTGGCTTTGATTCGAGCTTCTTCTGGTAGATCAGCTGACGTAGGAGCTACAGATTCTGTTTGATAAGATTGTGGAGGTGATTGTGGTGGAGGTTGATCTGTCACGCTGGCTGGTAGAAATTCATGGTCTAGGAAAATATCTCTGTTAAAAGGTTCTATACCAGAAACTTGGAAACCTTTTGTTATGTTTACTGGAGTGGCTGCTAGTGGCAGCGCGTGCCAGACCAAAGATGGGATGTCATAAATTTTTATCGACTTTCCAGGGTGGTTTCATAGCCAACTGTCTTGAGCAGAAGATAAATATTTCTTAAAGGGACCATACACACTTCTGTCCAATGGCTGGAGACGATGTGAACAATGGGGCGGAAATGACAACATTACCACCCCATTTTCTTTTGCGTAGTTTATTGTTTTTATTGCCAAATGCGACTCATGATTGTCCAACAACAACAAGATTGGATTTTCTATGGATGGCTTAGCATGGGCAATAAAGTGTTGCATGAATGTATAAAAAGTTTCTGCCGTCATCCATCCAGAACCGTTCGCTGCACCAATGGACTCCGGAGGACCATCTCTAATGAAGTGATCCCGGAATTTTTTTCGGGGGAACAGAAACATAGGCGGCGTAGAATTTCCTATCGCACTTACTGCGACACATACAGTAACTAGAACCCCTCTTTCGCTTGATGTTATGCCACCTACTTGCTTAGTTCCTTTCTCGGCAATAACCTTACCTACTTTTTGCACGGTGGTAACCCCAGTCTCATCTAGATTCCATATTCACGCAGCTGTAAAATTATATTTATCTCTTACGTGAGCTAATTTATCAAAAAATAGGGAAACATTAGTTTTATTAAAATTAGTTGCCCTTTGCAAACTTGTAGGCTCTGGGATTCTAATAGAGAGGTCACGATTTTTTTTAATGAATATTGTCAACCAATCTTCCCCTGCTGATTTGTTTTTTTTTTTTTTTTAGGAATCAGGAACTGCAATGTCGTAATGCAACGCACATTCATAGGCCAATTTACGGACTTCCTTAGGAGTCAAACCAAAATATATTTTTGAAGCATGTTTCAAATATTCAACTAGGCTGGCCGACTGCTGATCATTAAAAACTGGATTTTGTCTATAGCCTACATAATCTAATGTAATACGATCTTCGGAATTTCTCACCTTCTTTACATATCTGAAGAGAGTCACGTGACATACATTTAGAGCATCGGCAACTGAGCGGATAGACTCCTTATTTTGTATAACTCTATTAACTGCCTCTTTCATAGTTTCTTTAGAACTAGAACCTCTTCCTGTTTTTCTTTTGTAAGTTCCCATCCTAGAAATAAAAATTTAGTTAGGTATTTGTAAGTCAAGTATGTACCAGGGCAACTTGTAACATGTTTTATTTTGCCCCGGATAATTTGTTACAACTTGCCCCGAACTTGATTTTTTTCGTTTTGTCGCAACAAATGAAAAAGTAATTACAACATTACTAAAAACACTAGACATTATTATAATCCACGCAATAATTAATTTGTAAACAAGAAACCAAACTTTATTCACTTTCTTATCGTAATTATTTGAAATTAAAGTAGAGAATCTAAATTTACTTACGTGCTTGAAATATAAACACTGAGCTTCACGGGATTCTCTTTACGCTCGCTCGAGTTGCGGGGTTGCCGAAGTTGATGCTCAGGAAATATTTGATATGTTACAATTTACCCCGTGTTACAACTTGCCCCGGTCTCCCCTACTTCGCGATCGCTTCGTCGATAATATTGTGGAAACATTAACGATAAGATTAATGTCTTGACACCTACATACAGATATAACGGGAGATGTAACTACTAACATATATCGTGCGGTCCTGAGTAAGACATATTCTAAGGAACACAGGAGGGTATGATAGCCGCTGTTATCATACGCCTATTTCATTATTCTCGTTTTTTTTTACAAAATTATATACATATATTAAAAAAGCTAAAATAATTCAACCTATTTTATTACAACTGAACCCAAACAATTTTGAATCATTAGTTATATTAAATTTAACTAAATTAGATGCAATTTCACTAAATTAGATGTAATAATTTTTAATAAATTCCAAAATCTAGTCATGTTAGGTTGGAAGTGGCAACAGGGCTTACGCCGGCATGAATATTTACATTGTTTATTATGAGCGCACAACAGCTTACACATTTATTCATTCATAAAAAAAATGTATGCGTAAAATTCTTCTCTTTATCCCCTCTCTTACTTCTCACCTTTCGTCTCCTCGCCGCTTCCCTACAAATAGATTGTATTGATTGTCGAATTAATCTCGGCATCGTGAATATTATATTTTATCAATGAATGGTTATCTCTGGGTAGATATGAAGGACCAGTCAGTCACAGAGAACTATTATTGCCTGTTTTAATTAGCTTCTAAAGGGGTCACCGGGAATTTACACTATGCTATCAGGAAAGGCAGAAATTACGGACTCGAATTTACATATTATTTTTGCCCATCCGTTTGCTCGGGCCCCAAATTACATGTTCTCAAAATTATTTTTAAAAAAAAAAAGAATAATAATATTCAACTCAGACATAAAATTTACTATTTCTCATAATCTACAAACTGACTAATTTATCTATTATAATGAAAAATTTGGTTTACGAAACAGAATAATATTAACATATTAATAAGACAAGTTTGACGACATTTTTATTATGCTAAATTTAAAATCAAAATATTTTAGATGTATGTTTGTTATTTCAAAATACCTTACTATTGACATTAATTATATAATATTCATATAAACAGACTATAATACGAGTATGTTATTACTTAGGTATATTTTATTATTTGTCTTCCTCGAATCTGTTAAATTATTCATCTGGAAGTTTTCCCATAGGGGAGGTTGGCCACATGTATATTCCCAACAGGAAAGTGTTTTGGCTTTATTGTACACCTATGATTTTCCAAAGATAAAAAATTAGGCATTCCAAACAAAATGATTGCCTGAGAGCCTAATGGATTCGACATGATATACCTGAACATACCTGTGTTTTTCAAAATAAACATAAGCTCAGGTCTTGAAGTAAAAATATTAAGTAATTATTTTTTTACTATGTTCAAAGGATAAAATTTGCTTTTAAAACACATTTTTGTTAAATCAATTAATGAACACTTGCGAGGCAATATAGCCACTTGCAGTGCGACCTGCTTAAAGCAATATAATTAACAGCATTTTTCCCTTAAAGAGTTAAAAATGCTTATTTTGGGTCTTGCTGAAGCTTGACCCATCTAAGATTACCTTCTGCTTTTTCCTGTTGTCCAGAGTGTGCCTTTTCATCCAAACTGCCATGTTTGTCTCACCCTTTCCACCTCTACACCGGTTGCGCCATCTGACTCTCCTAATCGTGCCGGCTAGCGCTAAGCGAATGTGAAGCTTATCAGTAGGTAAGATATGGTTGACAAGATCTTAAATGGATGGGTCAAGCTTCAGCAAGACCCAAAAAAAGCATTTTTAACTCTTCAAGGGAAAAATGCTGTTATTTTGAGTCTGTGCCTTCGCTTGACCCATCTGAGAAGTGTTTGTTATCTGTCGGCACGATAGCTAGAGGCGTACTGTGAGAAGAATGAATTTGGTAGAGTACTTAAACTTTATTATTTATTAATAATAATAAACTCAAATAGTTTCTTGAAACATAAACAACAAATAAATTAATAAACAAAAATGAGTTCAGTCTCAAATAATTATCACTTACAATAATTAGTAAGATTTAACTTTAGGAATATGAAATGAAACTAAACAGGTTGAAAACACTTTAAAACATTAATATCAGCAGGATCTTCGAGGCCTCCCTGCGTTTTCTCAACTTGTTTGAAATAAAATTTTAGAAAATTATTTTGATTTTTCCAATTGCCACATGCAAGAATTTCATCTATTGGTGTATTATATGCCGCTCTTTTAGACCCAACTGCAGATCTAATACTTCCAGGGGAAGCATTTATTCCTGCTTCTTTAAATGAAGTTCGAATCCAACCTGCAATAACAGATCTTGATGCAGGTCCTACTTTGCCTCTTGTAGAGATAAAAAGGGAGTGTAGCTGTTTAAAACATTTTCGTCTGGCATTTGAAACCTCAATAAGCTTTTTCGTTCAGAAAATTATATCAAGGATTTGATCCTTGTTATTTTTTATTTTCCATCCAGATTGCCTTGATGAAGCTTTGTCGGTTTTCGAACCAAAAGTGGGCCAAAGTATTATATAATCCGTAAATTCTTGAAAATGCTCTGTGTTTATAGATAGAAGGGTAAGGTCATGAATCCTTCTACCTGATGCAAATAAAAAAAGTATTGCTAAGTGTCTCGAAATTTTAAAAAAGATTATTCATTTTAGGAGGGTTTAACTTAATCCAGCTAAGAAGAGTGTTCACATCCCAAATTGTATCTTTATTTTTAATTGGGGACTTTAAACTAATAGCTTTTAACATCTGTTTTATAATAGGAATAGATGTTAATATGGATTTCCTCACAGGATTAGCAAACGTAGATGTAACAGATTTATTTACTAAAATGCTACTGTATGATAACCTTTTTATTCGATATAAATAGCTCACAAGTATACTGCTACTTCTTGAGGAGAAGGGTTATTTATGGATACATTTTTAGAGTTTGTCCATTAAAGCCATATCTTCCAGGGAGCGCTGTAGGTTTTTAGGGTTGATTTCCTCAAGCTGATTGCAATAAATCAATATCCATTTTGGTCCAACCAGTTAGGTGATCGTTCCACCCCGGACCTTCCAAGCCTCCAAAGAAAGCATGTGCGCTTCCGGTAGAGGTCTTCTCGACTGCATATTTAGTTGCTCTGAAGATCTGGAATCGGTATTGGTGAGGCTATCGCTCGGGCTAGTAAGTCTGGTTTCCAAAATACTCGTTCCCAATTCGGGGCAATTATTATATATATTCCTTTTGCCTTGTTTAGATGTTGTAGGACTCTCGGAATTAATATTGGTGGTGGAAACACCCAAGCCAACTGATAGTCCCAGTTTCTGCTGAAGGCATATACAAATAACCCTTTTGTATCGTGTATCGACTGAGTCACATATTGAGGAACTACTGCCGATACATTTGTTGCAAATAGATCCACCTCGGGTTGATCCCACTTTTGGAAAATCATGTGTTACCCGACTCGATAGGTGCCAATCTGGAAGTTCTTTCTTCCGATAGAGGCAATCGGGGATTGAGTTGCAAACTCCCGGTATATAATGGGCAGTTATCTGCACTTTGAACTGATTTGTCATTTTTAATTAGGCTTGTGTTTGGAAAAGAAGGTTTAGCGACCTCGTCCCACCTTCGTTTCGAATATAGCCTACGACTGTTCGATTGTCGGTTTGCACTAGAATAGACTTGCCCTTTAAAATGTGAATATTTTTCTTGATGCTCACATAAACTGCGTATAGTTCTTTCTTGTTGATGTGCCAGTTTATTTGTTTCGTTGTCCATCGACCTGACAATATTAAGTCGCCTAATTGAGCTCCATATCCCAGAGCGGATGCATCTGTTGCCAGGTGAAAATCTATATTTTTTGAAAAGATAGGAGAGCTGCGGTGAACTGACTTCATCCACCATTGAATATCTTTTATTATTAATTATTTTAGGGGAAATAACTTATCGGGGAAGGTAACCGAGCGCTAACCCTCTGCATTTGAGGACAATGTAAACGGCCTAGTGGTATTGCAAACCCCGAGAAATTTAGACTTCCCAAAATTGATTTTGCTTCTCTCCAAGACCAGGTTCCTTTCTTCAAAAGTCTTCCTAGTTTTTTCTGCAGAGCTATCTGTTTTGATTGTGAAAGGAATTTTAGATTTTTGGATGAATTCCATATAACTCCTAAATATTCTAGTTCTTTTACCGGTTGAAGTATGGATTTTTTGAGGTTTATTTTCCACCCCAGAAACGAAAAAATGTTTACCGCTGTCATGGCCTGGGCTTTTAGTATATTGGGATTTTGGTTGGCTAGCAAGCAGTCGTCTAAATATATAATTATTTTTAATTCCAGACTTCTTAATTTTGTAATTATTTACTGGATGAAATTTTTAGAGTGAAACATACTGGTTGAGACGTTTCAAGTTGAAAATTGGGCAATTTGAGCCATCTGGCTTGGGAACTAGAAACATATTGGAGAGAAAACCGGTCTTCAGTTGTGACTTTCTTAGCACTTTATTTTTTATCATTGATTGTATTTCGGTATCCATTTTTCGTGTAGACTTTGTCTGAAACCGAAGGCAAATGTTCTTTAAAAAACGAATTATAGGCGGTCTTTTTACAAAGGGAATTCTGTAACCTGTAATTATTTTTATTAAAGATGGAGGAGCACCCAGGAGTTCCCAATGATTTCTGAAGTTTTTTAACTGGCCCACTTGAAAAGTCTTTTGCTGGGGCGGGTAGTCATAAGTGATGTTTTCTGTCTTTAGGAAAGGAAGATCTTTTAAGAGAACGAAATATTTCTTTTCCTTGTTGAAGATGTTCTCTTGGTCTGAATGATTTTTCAGGTCTCCCACGATAAAATGTGTTCTGTTGAGAAAGTTTTGGAACTTTTCGCGGCTGAACTTCAGTTTGGACATTTTGCGCAAAACGTCTTTTTGTATTTTGAATCGTGAAGGAGTGTTCCCTTCTAAGGACTTCAAGTTTTTCTTCCTCGTATAAATGAGAAATTGAAGGTGGAATATTCTTCAGTAGTGGGGCTACACGAGGATTAGATATTGTATGTTTACGTCTTAAATCTATTACTTCAGTACGTTTTCCACATACATACTGCAATATATCATCTGAAATGCTTCGAAAATTAGATTGCTGTTCCCCAAAAATTGATGTTAAACTCCGAGATGCCCTCCTGGAAGTATTGCCTTTGCTTTAAAATAGCGTGACATAAGGTACCCAAAGAAGAATCAGTTTTAGCTAAAAAATCGCTATATTGATTAGAAAATGAATTAAGTCCATGATTAACAATAAGCTGAGAAAACACAGGTGATGCATGCATCTTCTTCTGAACTTCTGAGTATCTAATTCGATTCCAGGATGAAGATCCTAGCCGTTGACAGTCTATGCCTTGTTTTTTATTTCCGGATGTGGTTCCGGAATAGAAGGTTCTTGTTCTCTTGTTGCAGGAGAAAAATCAAAATTAGTAACATTTTCTTTCTCTTGAAGAGAAACAAGGTCGGGGCTTTCCAATTTGAACAATGACTGTCGTCCTATCCCATATTGTCGTAATTTACACCATCCGACTCATATTCGGAGCGATCGGAATAAAGAAAGTCTTCTTCCTCCTCCTGTTCGGATCTGTTGTTGGTAACACTTTTTAAAATGGTTTCTAAAATTTCTTGTGTCTTGTCAAATTTTGATTCTAAGGCATCCATTCTTGCTGAAACCTTTAGTTTTCTGGTATCAGTTAAATGATCGTCAGATTCTTGTTCGGATTTTTCACCTGATAATTGTTTTGAGGCCTCCAAGCGAGTTAGCAAAAGAGGCTTTAAATCGTTTATTGTCTGTAAAACTAACTGGTGTTGAATGTACGAACCTCTTATTTGCAAAGCCAACGACGTTGGGCTAAAAACAAAACCTCTGCAGAAGTTCCATTTCAGCATTGTTTTCTTCATATCACGATAAGGTTTTTCCATAAGACTTGATGCCTCTGGATTAAATGCTCAAGCAATGCCGACCGTAGGAAGGGCAAAACGTACTTTATTTAAAACTTGGGGATCAATGTCATCCTCCCGATTTGAAATAGCTACTTGCCAGTCTTTCCATCCATCAGACAAACTTTCTTCGGCGAGCTGTTTTAGTCTTTTGAGGACCCCATTTTCATCATCTTCTTCATCTTGACCAAACAAATCTCCCAAGGTCATCATTTTGAAGTTAATTGCCATCTGAAAGACAAGGTCACCTTAAGTAAAGTGATAATATATAAAGAATCAGGATGCATCGGCTTTGCGGCTGACTCTGTGCCGTTACGGCTAAAACATTGGGCCGTTACGGCTGAAAATTTGGGCAATCACGGCTGAAAATTTGGGCCATCACGGCTGAAAATTTGGGCCGTCACGACTGAAAATTTTGGCCGTCACGGCTGAAAATTTGGGCCATCACGGCTGAAGATTTGGGCCGTCATGGCTGAAAATCTGGGCCGTCGCGGCTGACAATTTGGGCCGTGGCGGCTGACAATTTGGGCCGTAACGGCTGAAAATTTGGGCAGGCCATGGCTAAAAATTTGAGCCGATGCGGCTAAAAATTTGGGCCTTACGGTTAGACTGGGCAGTTTCGGAAAACGATTTGAAAAGCTTAGGTCATTGTGACGCTAAACGATTTATTTTTGAGCTGAATGGCTGCAAAAAATTTTGCTCGTTCCACTAAATGAATGTAAAGTATTACATTTTTACATTTTTTTTTTTTAAGCAAGCCGAAGTTTCATCAGAAATATATCCAAACCAAAATCTGCTATAGGAAAAACAATATAATATTTACATACCGTGGAAGTATCCATTTAAAACACAAACTATTTCGCACTGAACGTCTATAAGTAACTGCAGTGGCACACTCTGCAAAGGAAAAACAAAAGCGTACTGACAAGCTTCACATTCGCTTAGCGCTAGCCGGCACGATTAGGAGAGTCAGACGGCGCAACCGGTGTAGAGGTGGAAAGGGTGAAACAAACATGGCAGTTTGGATGAAAAGGCACACTCTGGACAACTCAAAATAACTATCTCAGCTAACACATAAACATCCCACGTTAATAAGCTGCAATTCCAGGCTCTTTAAGCTCGCATACAATGTACTTTTAATGTAACCCTAACATTTGTGCCACCACCGAATATCCGCAAATAAAAAGTTTTATGCTATATGTGACAAGTAGAATGTTTACTAATGGTGAGTAGAACGAGATTTTTAAAATTATTCACCTGTGATTAGTAAAAAGTTTAATTAGTTTTTAGACGACCTGCTCTTAGTGAATTATTTACTTACAGTTACTGATTTTAGTTATGTGGGAATTAGTTGTGTATCTGCTAGTGAAGTTTTTACTGTGTTAGGTTTTTTGATTTATTTAAAGCTATTAAAGTGTATTTCTACAATAGAAACGTAGGTATTTAAATAGATTTTCTTACTTTGTTAACGAATTTAAAGTCAACCTCAACAACATAATTTTGAGAAAAACAGTTTAAATAATTGCTTCCCGAAATTTTTACTTGTAGGTACCTGCGACCCTAATTAGATACCTAAATGTTTAACTCCTTATAAACGTGAAAACCCTTGCTAAAAAATTGGTAGATTGCCTATCGATAGAAATCTACAAATACGGGGTGTTGACAAATCTTTTTAACCAGATCAACTTAACTGAGAACATAAAATAAAAATATGGTTGCGTATATTATTTTGCTGAATTAGATTACATCTACGAGGAAAGGATAAACTGAAATTCAAATTTAAATCATGTCATCAAAAACCGGAAATCCTGTGGCATCCTTAAAAGCTAAAAATCTGATGTGTCCAACACATGACTTTCCTATCTAGTTATTATAGGCTTTTCCCGGTTATTTTGTACAACCTATTGCAGCACCTCTATAAATTTTTAGAGGAGAAACTAAATATATACATTTTTTACATACATCGAAACATTTTTCTATAGATATTCATTGAAAACAAAAATACTGAAAAACTTAAATTTAGCACTTTTCTTCCAATTTTTCCATACGGTCCATTTTAGAAAAATCATGTAAAAACAAAAATTATAGAGATCGATATCGCAAACAACTTTTAGTTTAACAATTTTCTTAAAAATCAGAATTTTGCACATTTTGTCAAATTTCTCGAATACGGATCATTTTAGAAAAAATTTGGATAAAACAAAAATTATAGATAATAATATTATAAGTAACTTTTATTTGAGGAATTTTTTTTCCAAAGGTAAATACCAGATATATTTCATAAAATATAAAAACGGCCTCCCATAGAGTACAGATGTTCCGACTTTGTCCAAAATCTAATCATTTCACCTCAGGCCGAAATAAAACTTAAATTTAAAATTTAATGTTTTTTCCTTCATCTGTTTTTGAGTTTTCTTCAAAATTCGAAATTTACACATTTTCTCAAATATCTCGAATACGGTCTACTTTAGCGTAATTATGTATAAAATAAAAATTACTGAGAATTATATTACAAACAACTTTTATTTGAACATTTTTTATAAAAAATTATTTTTTTACATTTTGTCAAATAGATAATAATATTATAACTTTTAGAATTTTCTTCTCCAAACGTAAATAACAGATATATTCCATAAAATATAAAAATGACTACAAATAAAGTACCCCCCAAATGTTCCGACTCTGCCCAAAAATTTAATCAGTTCCCTGGAGGCCGGAAAAAAGCTTAAGTTTAAAATTTGGTGTCTTTCTTTGTATCCGTTTATGAGTTATCGAAGGTACACACACACACACACACACACACACACACACACACACACACACACACACACACACACACACACACACACACACACACACACACACACACCCACGCACGCATGCACGCACGCACGCACGCACGCACGCACGCACGCACGCACGCACACACACACACACACACACACACACACACACACACACACACACACACACACACACACACACACACACACATATGTATATAGATAGGAAAGTCAAAAATTGAAAATTTAAGTGCTTTTTGATGTCTAAAATCAGAATTCAAGCATTAGAAGAGATAACCAAAAACAATTTTTTGTTCACCTTGTGTTATTTATCGGCTTTAAAACATTATTTATGATTATTAATATTTTTTTTGTGTCATCGGCATCAACTACTAAGGCCATTAGCCTCATGTGCTGTATAGGCTTTGTCACTGTTTCCCAGCGCCACTTTAGGAACAGCACTGTCAATTAGAACCTAACAGTGAATGGTCGAGTGGGGAATCCTACCAAGGCATCAGAATTAATTTTAAATAATTAAATTAAATAAAATAATCCCGACCAACGGTGGAATTCGAACCTGGGACCCTTGGATCAACAGACACTGAGCCACGCACTATTATTATGTAGAAAGTATTAGATTTTTTATACCTTTATGGCTATAGGTACTAATAAGATTTATAAAAATTTGAGTAATTAGGGGTTTTAAAATAATATGAAAAGGGACAATATAAAAAGATTAAAAAAATATCAGTCAAATGGTGTATCAAAAAAACATAAGCTACTTACACAATAATAATGGCAAATAATAACCCGTCTATACCCTGCATACATTTTGCTTCTAGGGTTAAAGCTCACTCGGGGGGGGGGGGGTAGATAGGTATAATAATATTATTAGATACACCTAAAATGGCACAGTTTTTGATACACTCATAAAAAAAATATTTACTACTTTGTATTGATTTTTGTTTACACTTCTCACAAAAATCCTGTACGCTATATAGCACTCCATCAAAAAGGTGTATGACCTCGACCTAAAATGCTCTGTAAGCTGTGACCGTCCGGTATGAAAGACAATACAAAAATACTTAACAAGTTATTGCAAATAAGAAATCAAATTAATTGCCTTAGTTTGTTGATGGATCGATGATGATCGGGACTTACTATATTAAAGTAGTCGTTAGCTGTAGTGAATGTTTTTTAACCATAAGAAAAAGTTAACTTATTGTAAATATATGTGAGTTTGTGGTTATTTAACCAATTTTAGAAACATTATTCATTTGTCGCAAACAAGCAGATGTCTAAGTCACAAGGGGTTATTAAAAAACCTCATTTTAGAAAATAAGATGACTACTTTTATCTAAAAAGCACTGTATACGTCTTGGGCGCTTGATCCACACTGCTGTCCCACTTCAAACTTAATTGCGTACTTTCCTGGAAAACACGTGCGCTACAGAATGTGCGCCAGTGTTAACTTTTCAGTACACGGATAACACCTAAAAAAAAAAAATAAGAAGTGTCGCAATTTCTTAGTCAGATCGCCTTCATTATAACAATTGAAATAACCTTCTAAATGAAGTAGGTATAATTTCTAAATTAATGTAAATATTATTCATCTCTTATTCATGCAGAATGAACTTGAAAACTGCGTATTACGGTGGTTTTTAGAAGAAAACCCATTTATTAACGTAAAATGAAACCCATAGACATAAAAAAAACATTTTTTCTGGTTCTTTACAGTCTGTGATTTATATGGAAGTAAACAAAAACAACGTTAATTGACTAAAAGGTTACAATTATACGCTTGAATTTCTTTTTATTTTATTTTTAGTAGGTTAGCATCATATTGACGTTGTTTATAATCGTATTGATGTTTTTAAGCTTATTTTATATATCCGGTACATTATTCATAATTAAAATTATGTGGTTTTTATAAAATTTTATTTTTCTAACAAATTTTTTAATCCAAAACTTGTGTATTTCCGTTCCAAATTGTGGTACGGATGATTAATAATTAATTTATGTCGTGTATTGTAATCAAACAGGTGTGTATGTATGACAATCCGCGATTCAAATTATACTCTATGTTCACAACGGAAGGAATATTCTACCATTTCATTCCATTGTAATTTGGGGTGCTGGCTTCGATTTTATTGAAACTATTACTGATTGTGGTAAATCAATTGTTCGCTGTCCAGCATAAATTGTGAGATACAAAAAGTGAGTTATACCTAACATTAATTTCGTTGATATTAAGTCCTTAGGTTATCCCAGATGTTAACCGTGTGGATCCGGTTTACTCATGTTGAGATGGGAGTGGGTAACTACAATGATAATTTGGGATTACTAATATTTTGTCTTAAAAGAAGGGGGGCGCCAATTAGATTTAACACATTCACCGCCAGGGCGGACACTGGTGTCCGCTGCGTGGTCGGCTCATCACGCCAGGCCGGACACCGGTGTCCGCCAGGTTTAGAGGTTGATATTTCCTCGAAAATTCTGAATTTTGTAAATGTTTTATTATAACTTATTCTTTTTAGGCCTCTAGAATGGCCTACCGACCGTGGTTTTTTGAAAAAGAGTTTTGTTTAAATTTTATGGACTGTGTCCGCTATTGTGTCCGCTGTGGCGTGTAAAAAAGTTTTTAAAGCAGCTAAACTCTAGGTGCCAGAGCGGACCAATTTTTTTTCAATGGGAATGTAAACTACTTTTAACTACTAAAATTTTATTGTTTTATTGAAAAAAACATTTTAACATTCTATAGTATACAAAATAAAATATCAAAAAACTTATTGATTATGGTTATATTATGTACAACTAGACACAGTATAACTTAAGCATTTTTAACAATTCTTAAAACAAAAAAACATATCAAGAAAATTCTCGTTATTTATAACAAATAACTAAAAAAATATATTGTTTTATAGGTACACACATTTTAACATTTATTAGTAAGAAAACAAAATGGCAAAAAAAACTTATTTATTATGGTCCTTATTAAAACATTCCACAAGGGACATAATATGTCTCGATCTGCTGCTCATTGTCACTTTATGAAAAAACAAAATAGAAAAAACTAAAAACTTGTGACGAAAAAAACCACTGCCAAGTGTCTTCTACGCTAATTTATGCAATACTGAGCTTAACAAGACATTTGGCGCGCGACCCCGCTTCGGCAAACAGACCTGTTACGACGTGTCCGCTGAGATATTTGTGTCCGTTGTGGCGTGGTAAAATCGGAAAAATTTTGTCTGCCCTGGCGTAATGCGAGGGAAAAATGCTTTTTTTAGGCATGGCGCCAGAGCGGACACCGGTGTCCGCTGAGTCGCTCTTATGGGTGGCGTGCTGGGAAGTTTTATGAAAATTGACTTGGCGGTGAATGTGTTAACTGAGCCTTGAATACTTTATAACAAACCTATCTTAAATCTAATAAAAGATGAGGGAATAAAAGACAACCTTAACTTACACTTATTTACTACACTTCATATAAAAATCAACTATTTTTCCCTCTTCAAATAAACAAATATGTATATTAGACTGGGCCAAAAAAATTGACTATTTTTTTTTGAAAAATATATCGAGAATGTCATTTAGGATGACAAAAAAAAATTCGTGAAAATTTGAGCCCTTAATTATAAATTTTAAGAGGTTTATCATCGCTATTTTTGATTTTTAGTCATAATTTGATGTTTTACGTTAGAACTGTCAAAACATTAAAGTGAAAAAAATTCCTTTTAACTTATTTTTATATAAAATTAAATTCTCTACAAAAATTTTTAATTTTTTTCTTCGATTTTAATCGTGAATAACTTTTGAAGAATTAAATTTAGGCAACAATTTTAAGAGACCTTTTTTGTAGAACATTAAATTTCCTTTAAGAATCCGACTTGAGCTTTTTTAAATATTCATTGATTTATTATTTACAAAATTTCAAAGTAAAAAGGACAAATCAAAAAAACACATCGATTTATTAAGCTCAATTAGTCGGAAACGGCTCGTCTGACGAAAATTTTCAATCAGACCTTTTTTTTCACTTTAATGTTTTGACAGTTCTAACGTAAAACATCAAATTATGACTAAAAATCAAAAATAAAGATAAGAGATCTCTTAAAATTAATATTAAGGGCTCAAATTTTCACGAATTTTCTTGTCATCCTGAATGACATTCTCGATATATTTAAAAAAAAATAGTCAATTTTTTTGGCCCAGTCTAATGTATATCTTTATCTAGTTTCGGACACAGAAACTACATGCAGAATAAATCTAGCAAAGTTAAGTAAATAAACATATATGTATATCTTTAAGTAACATTTTAGCTATTTAATACAGAAAATGAAATCATAAGTTTCCTAAAGTGATGACTAGAGAGCGGAATATATGCAAAATGCATATATATGCATTTTTTGCATATTTTTCCAAAATTCAGAAAATATTGCATATTTTACCAAAGTTCAGAAAATTTAAGAAAATATTGCATATTTTCGAAAAAAAAAAATGTATTACTATACTGTGCAAATCAAAAACTGTTTTAACAGATTATACAGATATATTTGAAATGAAGACCTTCTAAATTTTTGTATTTGTGTTTAAGTGTCACTTCTTGTAAATTCTTGTTAATTAGTTCTTGGAGGGTGGCATGCACTGGGTTTTTAACTTCTTAAGAGATTAAGCCCATTAAGGTAATTGTTAATAGATGGTATTTACACAGATAAAGTATTACCTACAATGCAATAAAACGGTTTATATAAAATTCTCAGTAATTTCTTGTAACCAATCTACCCTAACATCGGAATATTTTGAATGTTTTTCATTCAGTTTAATGAGATAGTATCCTCGTTATTTGCCTAGTGAAAAGTCTTGTAATAATTTGTTGTTTTAAAAGTGTCCTAAAATGTCGAGAATTTCTTCGTGGATTATTAACTTTCCAGAGTTGGAAATCAATGGGGATAAAGTTTTTTGTAAAGCTTGTGCCAAAATAGTGGTTTGCGAAAAAAAGTTCAAAGTGGTTCAACAGGTGAAAACATCATTGCATAAAGCCAAATTGCAAAAAATGAAATCACAACCGGTTCAACAATGCGTTGTGAGGTAATTTCAAAACGCCAACAAAACAAAAAGTGGAGGTATTTAATCAGGACTTTTGCAAAGCTCTTGTTGCGGCAAATATTTCATTAAAGAAGTTACAAAACCTACATCTAAGAGAATTTTTACAAAAATATTGCAATCAAACCATTCCTGACGAATCTACACTCAGAAAAAAAAATGTACATGCTATATATATATATATATATAAATGTAATAGAAGAAATTAAAGTTTTACTGGATGATAGCAATTTTTACATCATTGTTGATGAAAGCACAGATGCTTGTGGAAGATATATGGTACATCTTATGATTGGAGCCTTAAAAGAAAATGAACCAGGTACATCATATTTAATTGCATCAAAACAGTTAGAAAAAACTAACAATACAACTGTTACCCGATTTATTAAACAATCTCTAGCAGAATTTTTTTTACCAAATCAAATTCCCTCAGAGAAGTTCTTAGTGTTTTTGTCTGACGCAGCACCATATATGATAAAAGTAGGGCAAAACTTAAAAATATTTTATCCAAATATGGTCCACGTTACTTGTCTTCTGCATGGAATAAACTTAGTTGCAGAAACTGTGAGAACAGAATATCCCTTGGTTAACAAGCTAATTTCGAATGTGAAAAAAAATATTTTTAAGAGTGCAGTTGTATAAAGAGAGAATGGTAGGAGTGTGTTTGCCCCCGGAACCCGTAATTACGCAATGGGGGACATGGATTAAAGCAGCTATATTCTATGCAGAAAATTTTGATGACTATGTATTTTTATCGTCGTTAGCGTTGGATCCAAGGCGAAGGACTAAAATGCACAAAAGGGTGAAATTTTGACGGTTTAAGCAGGCGTTAGTTTCTGTTGTACATCATAGTTACCAACAGGCATAAAGTAAATATAAATAAAATTGTGAAAAGTTGAAGTGTGAGTTAAATAACAAAAGGTTTCATTACATATAAAAAAAATAAACAAAAGATTATTCAACTTAGCTGCTCATTCTGCAGCCCCCAGAATGATACTTTTCGAGCCCATCTTCATGCTTTCCATCTACGCTTTCCCAAGTATGGTGCCCAGGTTCAATGCGAATCATAAAATGTCTCGCTCTCACCAACAAAGCGTCCAGCTCGTTGGAGATCGAGACAAGACTTCCCTCAGCGCCTCTAGCAGTCCGAAAAGAAGTAGTAGTGACGTCGCACCAAATCGATGTTGCGAGCCACAGCTCGATAATAATACTACAGTAATTTGACTGTATCCCGTGGCGTACACCCTCTTTCACGAGGGGGATGGGCATCTAAATGCCGGTCACGCTTCCTGCATCAGAAGCTGGAAAATCGGAATCCAGTGGCCACCAAGACAGAACTTGAAACCCCAAGAATGCTCTTCGAACACGATCTAGGTCGTTGCACACAAATACTTCCATAACAAAATATTGTTCTCACACAAACACCTAGAGTATAAGTCACGCCTTCACTAAATCCCAAACTAGGATGGCACAAAATTATCAAAATTATCATATAATTAAATTAGGTGTCACTTAAAATCTCGTGGCTTCAAAAATCGTCTATCGGTTTCCACCAAAAAAACAGCTTCTTCTAGAAGAACCCGTGGTCGTCGTCGCGCAAGTCAACCAGAGAATCAGTTTCCTTAGTAGCCAATCAAATGTAAAAACAATACCATCTCTACAAACTAACACACCTATACTAACCAATCACAACACGCAATATAAAAATCAATATCTGTAGTATAAACTAACAAACCTCTATTGACCAATAGGAATTAATATTCACAAAACCCCTACTAACATAGGTGGTTCCAGAGTGTACTAGAACATCTACTGTAACTGCACCTAAAACACTTATAACCCAAATCACAATAATAATTTACCCACGTAGTGTAATCCTACAAGAATTGAAAAACCCATATAAATCCGATATAAAACATTACAATGAAACTCAAATAATAATTATGTCCTGCACGAAACTACAACTCAGCAGTTCCAATTGCACAAGTAACGCGAACAAAGCGTTCCGTGTCAACAAAATTTCAACCTAGAAACTGTCGAATATAAAGGTCAAACTATGGTCAAACATAGGTCAAACTAATGACAGTACAAGTACAATATAAACATTATATTGTCAATAATATTTGAAATATTATTTAAAATACAAACAGTGATATTATTTATAAATATATCAATTGAGTTCAATGGTCAGAACCCCTAAAATAAAGGTGGTAGTAAACAAGTGTCGAACACATCCAAAAGGGGTCGTGAAAATATCAACATAGCAGTCAAATCAAAGAAAAACTGCCTCCAAATGTAAAATACACATGAAGCAAAGTATTTAAGAAATTAATATGTCTTAGAAGTGAATTTATAATTTAATGATGTCTCAAGAAGTGATAAAATAAATAAACATGATGTAGTTAACAAGATTTACCTTAAAAAGTATCTCAGCCAAAACAGGACAAATATAAGGTAAGTATTAGGTTCTAAACACCTTACACATAGTTATTTAAATGGTTTTCTATTTGTGGTTTTGGAGGGTAGCAGATAAAGTACATATTTGTGTTTAAATTAAATTTCTGATAACCTCAGTTCATTGGTTGAAATAAAACTGTTAGAGAGTAGCGGGGAGTTTAAGGCAACTACTGCTTTTTTTGGTGTTGGTGAGTTTTTACAAAATACCGCTCTCACAAAAATATATCGTTATGACAGTTACGAAGCAACTCTATTATGCAGGTCGGATTGACATAGTAGCAGGTAAGGAAGCGGCTCAGGATAAGGCAAACCCAGGTGTGAGCAGTCTACATCGGGTAGCATTAGGTCAGTAGAATCATACTTGGACGTTCTCCTTCGACAAAGTCAGAATGAGAGAGTTGGAATTGATGAATTTCTGGCCCTACTTTAGCTTCGGGCAGATACAGTTCTGGCTTCGAGGCCGCAGAGGTGCCGCGGACAGAGTCCCAGCAACAGACTCTCGACAGATGAGGTCTGTAAGGTAACCAAGAAAGCAGGACGTGAAAAAGTCACTCCAACAGCTGAAATGGTCAACAAGAGGAGCCTGTTTGAAAGCCGCCTTCTCAAATGTCAAGGGAAGAATACCCCTGTCCAAGAGGGCAGTGTGAAAGGGCTCCAAAACCAAAGGGAAGGGAAACACGGAGAACGGGAGAAAAAAGATCCTCCTTCATCTCCTTCAACACTACCCCTTCCATCAATCCCTTCTACCCATTAACAATGGAAGAATAGATGCTTTTTCTCCAGGTAAATCTCTACCACGCCAAGCGGCTTCATGTGTCGTTGGCAGGAGGTTTGCTGAAGAGAGACTAGACATTGCTTTCATCCAGGAACCCTGGATTCCCAGCAACGGCCGAGTAAGTGTCCTTGGAAAATGTTCTGGAAAGTTGGTAGCCGATAACTCTCCGGACAAACCAAGAGCATACCTTCTCATCAGAAATAATATAAAAAAAGATTATGTTAACAGTTTACTTCACCCCCGATGAGTTTGCAACCCAGGTCTCAATTCTGGTGGGAAACAACAGAAAGGATGTCGTAATCTGCTCTGCTTTCTTCCCGGGAGACGCAGGTCAAGACCATCCGCTTTCTTCAGCGATAGTACGAAAACTAGTTGCCTATTGCATGAGGAACAGCAAGCGGCTTGTCATTGGGTACGATGCTAACGCCTAGTTAGCATCGTAATCAATATACGACCTGAGTCACTATATAATTATATAATCGGTGAAGGTATTATTGTTAACAGCGAGGTTCTGAACCAACTTTCGTGACGTAAAATCGTGCAGAACTTCTAGACATAACCATCAGTACGTTTGTGAATACCAACATTGTTAAGTAGAGGGTATCCACCAAATCCTTATGAGACGATCATAGACATATGAGATTTGACATGATTACGGATTGGGTACTTTTCAGTTCCGTAACCCAAAAAGCACAGACTGGAGTGAATATGAAATGTCCTCCAGGAGGAGCTGGGAAAAGTAATTAAAAACCTATTAAGAATAGCGCAAAGATTGAAGTGAAGAATTATTAAAATCCTTATGACTACTTATCAGGACAACTGCCTACTAAAAGAGAGAAGAGACCTGAGGGGAACTTTATGATGGAGCAGAAATCTCGACCAAAAAAGAAAAGAAGTTCAACATCTCTTCAATCGAGCTAAAGTATTTGGCTGCTGGGCTGAGACAAAAACTGCAAATCCCTAATGGAGGACAACAAGACCATTATAAAGGCCAAACACGAATCGTGGAGAAAGTTCTGTCAGAGTATATCAGATTTACCTGACATCACAAGATTCTTACCAAAGAGCCGAGACAGAAATTTGGCTCGATATAAAGACCCGATGACACCTATACCGACTCTAGTAGGAAAACGTTAAAGATTCTTTTACAGAAACACTTCCCAGGCAGTCGAATCCTGGAAGACACGCAACATGTAATCGATTATACGACCCAAGAAGGAGGACTGAAACTTCGTTGCACAAGTTGTCTTTTCAATCGACGTGAAATGGGCGACGAATCTAGTAGACAAAATCGGTCTCATTCCCTAAAACTTGGGGAGATTGTACTTGGTGAGTTTTTAGACATAGAAGGCGCGTTTAATAAAGCCCTTTCTCAGTCTCTGTTCGCTTCTATTAAAAAAGAGGAATCGACAAACTGTTCAAACACATGTTGGAAAACCAGAACATCACATTATCTGCACAATCGAGTAGACAAAAGCGGTCTCATTCCCTAAAACTTGAGGAGATTGCACTGGGTGCCTTTTTAGATATAGAAGGCCTCTGTTCGCTTTTATTAAAAGAAAAGGAATCGACAAACTGATCAAACGCATATTGGCAAATCAGAATTATCATATTATCACTGCAGGGAGAGACAGTCACTTTCAGGCTTGCCAGAGGGATTTTCATAAGGCGGCGTACTTTCGCCCCTACTGTGGACCATTCAGGTGGATAACCTGCTGGTCGATCTCTCTCAGAGAGTGGACTTACAATGCTATTTTATCTGGTTATCACCAATAGGGGGAAGTACGAAGAGGTGATCTCCAACTTCAGCATCCTTTAAGAAGCCCCAACATACGATCAACAGAAGGTGCGAGATGGAGGAGATGTCTGTTAACCCCTGTAAAACTGTTATAATTCCCTTCAATAAGAGAAAAAAGTTCAGCAAGCTACCATGACCTGAGAAACCGTTCCTTTTGCATAGGAGGTAAAATATTTAGGGATAAGAAACTCAACTGGAACCTGCATCTTGGATAAAACCTCAATAAAGCCAGATTATTTCTCTGGACTGTCAGACGTATACAGGGTGTTAAAAAAAAGTGTCACAAAATAAAATGGTGAATAGTATGACCCAAAATAAGCAGAAAAGTCTTAATAAATATATGACCGCAAATTAACGGTTTCGGAGATGCGGACCATTTTGTGTTTATAACAATTTTTTATTATTATAAAAAAACAATGATATTTATAAACAATCAATAACAACATAGAGTTAAATGAGATGTTCAAAGTGACCTCCCTCCATTTCAATGCATTGCCATTTGCACGACCGTACATAAAATGCATGTCAGCTAATTCAATATAAGTGTAAACAGGCATAACGAAAATTTATAAAATTATTCACCCACAACAAAATAATAACTGCAAATAGTATCTATGAAAAAACATCGGTAGACTCCGATAAGAAAAGCAAGTTTTTGAGAATGAAAAAAGATAATCAAAAAATGATACAAAACACTCCGTATCTCTGAAACCATTCATTTGCGGACATATGTTTATTAAGACTTTTCTGCATATTTTGGCCCATACTACCCCCCGTTTTATTTTGTGACACTTTTTTTTTAACACCCTGTATGTGGCAAATCATGGGGGATCAGTCCTCAACTGATATAGTGGATTTACCAGTGGTAAAACCCGTAATTACGTACAGCGGTGTCGTCTGGTGGGACAAGGGACTTGAGCGGACGGCTAGATAAAAGCTAGCTGGAATCACTGGGGTAATGTCAACTACACCGACGGGAGTCATGGAGACCATGCTGGACCTAATCACTCTACATATTTTTTTGGAAAGGAAGGCCAGGATATTCTCCTATAGACTCCTGAAGGTGGGTAGATCAACGAAGACCTGCGATGGGATAAGACGTGGCTAATGAGTGATATTAATAACCACCACATCTTCGGCATGGTCTCAACTCAGACTCGCTAGTTCCGCGATCGCACACAGAAAAGCTATAGAGCGTCCTCATTCCAGAGAGAGACTTATGAAGCATAGAGGATAAAA